CCTGCTGTAGCTTGAGTCCTGCCAGCAGCCAAGCATCCACATGCACTCCAGGACAGGGGAGAGAACAGGAAGAGAAAATGGAAGAAAACTGAGGAGTCAAGATAAAGATGCTAAAGTAAGTGACAGAAAGGGGAAACCAATCCTATGAGAACTAAGTGAGGCAAAAGCAATGATTCACTATTTCCCATAAGAGAAGTCTCCAAGTAATGGCCAGAAAGAAAAAAGCCTCTAATCTTCTTCCTCTACCCCAGGTTTTATTGCTGAGCATAAGGTTGTACAACAGGACACATCCCTTTGCTCAATTCAGGTTCAGATGTCTTATTTAGTCTCCTCCTAACTTCTTGCACAGGTCCAGCCTACTCATACTCACTGGAGAGGGGTAGGAGCAGCACAGTGGGGAAAAAAGCAAAAGCCTTGTGTTTGCAATCACTGCTCAGCAATAGCCACACAATTATTGTCTTACCAGCATCCCCTTCTTTAGCCAAAACCCCAAAATTTAGCACCAAAGGGCTGCTAGGAAGTGTTAGCTTCATCCTGGCCAGATCCAGTAGATCAGAACCAAAAAATTAAAATAGTGAAGTCCCATTCTGGCAGAGGAATTATTAGACTGGAACTAATAAAATTACTCCCAAATAAAATTACACATGCTCTTGACAACTGGGGGCAGTACAAAGCCTTCAGTAAACAAGGGATCCAGTAAGTGCACCCTTAGAGCCTGCTCCAAATGTGCTTCCAGCAAGACTGCACACAATTTTCAGAAATAGGGAAATTATAGAAATAATGTTATTCATCCCAGGACTGTGTTTGGAAGCTCAGTGACATTTTTGACTTGACAAGCAAGATTTTTGATGCCTTCCTGATGGCTAAATGTGGTTGTTTTTTTTGTTTTATTTTCTTTCATGTTTTCTATAAGCAGAGTTATGGAGTGCCTGGGTGTGTTTAATTATGATAAGGTTTGGAAACATTTGTCTGTGTAACAGACACTCATGCGAGGAATGCCTTATGTGAAGAAACTAATTGATGACTTTGGGTGGAGTTGTAAGGAAGAAGGAGTAAAATAGCACTTTCCCTCCCACCTCTCAGAGAGCAGGGAAGGCAAGGCTCCTTTGCAGCAGGAATGATGCAAAGTGCCTCCTGCAGAACCTGCAGAACTCTTTTACTGTGGAGTTTTCCTGGGATGCTCACACTTGCCTACAACTCCCTCCACTCTCCTCAGGGTTTTTTTTACAGTTACTGAATTTCTAATTATATTCACTGGCTTGACACAAGCTGAGCTGTGCAAGGCTTTCTGGAAAAGAGCAGTTATTTTATGCTTTCATACTCCCCTGTACAAAGAGAGAGAGCAGCATGCAATCCCAAAGAAAGATACTGAAGAGAGAGGAGTTTGTCATTTCAATAGTCAATGTGATGTTTTGGCTTTATCTGAAGATTACATTTACAGAAAATAGATGTGTAAATTGCCCTTTATATGGCTCTTCAGAGGTTGCTTTCAGAAAATTATTTATTATTCCAGATGCCTAAGCAGTCAAGGATACTGACTGACTGGAAAGAGTTCAGAGCAGAATAGTAAAAATGATCACTTAGTGCAGATGTTTTGATTAATGTTTTTTTAAACAGTGATAAATGGATTAAAGGGATAAAATACAGCTTGAGGCCAGACTAAATGATGAGCTGGGGAGGACACGGGCCTCTCCAAATATGAATAAACACCATGAATAAAACAATAACACATAGCAGCAAACCATAGGGTAAACAATGACACGCTCAACTCAGAGCCACAAATTATTCTTCTACACGTCAAACTAATCAAAGGATAATTGAAGTTAAATCTTCTGTCATACATTTCTGCACAGACCTACTTAACAGAAAGGCAGAAGATGTAGAGCTTGGACAGAACAGAGGATGAGTTTCTGGTGTTACACAGGCACCAAAGAAGTTTTCTTATTGAAATATCTGTTTCTGTATGATATTAATACATTCTTTTTTCTAGCAAAAAATGGCACAGGGTTCACTGTTTACTTATTACTATGTAAACAGTGAACATTGTGCCACTTTCTTTAGTTTGTCAACGGTTTAATCCACAATCTTGATTTGCAGTTGACATAAATTCACCCAAGCATTAGCTAATCTTTGTTGACTTTGTGGTTCTTAAGGTCACGCAGTTTAGAGTTTTTTTGTTACACCTTATCAAATATACCAGTTACTGCTGGTTTAGGACAGTTTCCATGCACAGCTTCTGAATGTCAATCTCATTTTCTTGTATTGGGGTGGTAGAAGAAATCTTTTGCACTTGAGTGCTCCTGTCACTCTATAGAAGTGTACCATGAATTCAAAACAGACAAAAGTAACTTCTGGATAAAACTGAAATAACTGGATCATACCCTTGTTTTCCTAGGTTATGATTACCTCACATACAAAATAAGTCAGGGGCTACTTCTATTATTTAGGCTGTGAAGTGAGTGAGTCCTAAGCTAGGAAATGTCAGAGGAAAATAATTAATCTCATCCTGTGTGTGCACTGTATTTCAACCTTAAGTTATCAAAGCTCTGCAAGGGGACCACAGAACAACACCATGAAGGCCGTGATGACCCTAAACCTGCTGGTGAAAAACCAGAGATATTCTGATTCTTCTTTTTTTCCCCACAAGTGACATAATGATGCCTTTTATCCATATGATTAGCACTTTGAAAGTTAGAATTATTGAATAGTTAGTTAACCTGTTATTTCCTTTTTTCCTTCTCTAAATGTGGGGCTCCAGATCTCATTCTCTGCACACCATGTGAAGCTGGCCCTGAGTATGTATAGATTTACTTGCCTACTAATAAAATTCCTACTACTATTCAAAGCTCTCTTGATGTTTGACAATGTTGGAAGAATCACAGAAATTATATTTCATCTATTCAAGGGAGTGAAATTAGTAGTATATTTTACCAATGGGAAAGGAAAGATTATAGGCACTTGCTTCAAACTACTGAGTGCTCATCAATTTTGTTAATCTGCAATACAGAGATTCTAATTTATTTTTGGTAGCTACACTATTTCCCCCTTTTTAAAAAATCTTAGGAAGTTTATGTATGCTTTGATATATTCAAAGCATGGCTTCCATCCAAAGTGGATGTAAAGACAAAGTATTGAGAGCTTCTTCAGATCTACTTCTGGGTGTGTATCAAGAAAATAAAGAACACAGAATGAGGTGCTCCTCAGTGAGATTTTTTTTTAAAGATGATTTGTCCTGCAGTCATCCTGGTGGAAATACAGTGACAAATGTAGGGGTGGAACCTGTTGTGTCACCTTGGAATTACCACATTCATCTTTTCCTGCAAGCTGAAATCAACATTTCAGTACTCTTTTAGCTGGCTTGCTCAGCACACACACGTGATTTAAGCACTGAGAGCAGTATTTCATGCAGTGCTGGCAGAAAAATCATACCCTGAAAATGGTAAGGCCTTAATGAATGTGAAAAACGCCAATCACTTGGATTTTTAATATTTTAAAAGTTTAATAATAATAAAATGGTTATAAAAATAGTAATACAATTAGAGTAATAATGTTTAGAGTTAGGACAATTACAAGACAACAAACAGCAAAGAATTACGGATGTCTGGATGCTCTCAGACACTAAGTCACGAAAAGCATGCCTTGTGAACAAAGGAATAACCTTAAAAGCAACAGCCTGTTGCATATTCATATATCTCATACATGATGCATAAATTCCTTGCAAATTAAGAACTTTTTTGGTTTTTGTCAACTTCTTCTCCTTAATCTTGGTGGTTCCCAAGAGACGGAGAAGGTGGAAGAATGTTTGTCTTTCCTGATAAGGTGGCAGGAACTTTTTATGGGCCCACTTCGCTGACATCTCTGTGTGAAGAGTTTCTTGATTATCTCATCTTCCTAACTGAGCTTGTAACAAATCCTATATCGCAAAGTTTCTATTTTAACATTATGTTGTAACCTAAAACTACATTTAACACCCTACTTAAAAGAATTAATACAATGTAACTTTCTAACATTACACATATAAGATTCATTGTAACATTTACAAAAAGCCAATCATAAAATACACATTTTTCACAATGAAGAACCAGAAAAAGGGTAAGACCTGCCAGAAACAGGGTAAGGCCTTAGGGCAAATCTTGTCAGCTGTGAAAACTTCACTATCATACTAGTAAGAATGCTTAAATGTGGACCAAAGATATATTTTTCTAAAGTCCTACCGTTTAAAAAATAAAACTTAATACAACTGATCAATAAGTAAGTAAATACAGATCAGCTTTTTAAAATAAGGGATTACAACAAATGCATCTGTCTACATTGCCAAAATGGCAAATGCTTATCTAATGGGAGGTTCCAGGGACTTTGATGTGCTGATGGTATTTTACTTCTTAAAAAAATCTTTACTTATAGAAAACCAATGGTTACTTGAAGAACATTGGGAAGGAACGGAACGGTATCCACAAACAGCAGTACCAAGGGGCAGGTAAAGCTTTGGCTTTGCCATTTCCACTACTCCCCACAGGCCTGCAGCTTCAGGGAGTAACCGGGGAGGGCCTGAACGCCAAATCCCGCAGCCCCGAGCCCTCCTGCCGCCTGTGCCGAACCCGACGGAGATATAAGGCTCTGTAAATCTCCGCCATGAGCTGCAAAGGCCGGGCCGGGCCGCGCCTCCTTCTCCGCCGCCGCCGCGTCCCGCCATTGCCACACAGGCCTTGCGCCCAGGCAGCCAATGGGAGCCCGCCCGCCGGCCCCGCAGCCAATGGGAAACCGCGCCCAGCCGCTGCCGCCGTCCTCGCAGCCAATGGGAGAGCACGGCCAGCCGATGTTGACAGCGCCCAAATCCAGGACTCGGAGCGGAGTGATTGGGCATTCAGCAGCGCCAGCAACCAATCAAAATACAAATCCTGCCCATCGCGGGATCCCATTGGTTACGCGCCAGAACTGATTGGCGCAACAACCAATCGGAAGCGGCGGAGGGGCGGCGCGCGCGGTTTGAATCGGCGGGCCGCGGTGTGGGGGGGCGGGTGGAGTCGTGCCTCAGCATGGCCGGCGGCGCGATGTGGGGCGGGCTGCGGCGCAGCGAGGCCCGCTTCATGGCAACCATGAGCCGCATCCTGGAGGAGGTGAGCTGCGGGACCGGGCTGGCGGGCGGGGAAGCGCTGCCTGAGAGCAGCGGACCGGCAAGAGCGGAATACAGCAGGACAGACAGCTGGGAATGACAGTGCTGGGTACGCGACTTGGTGCCCTCATGGAGTCCTTAACCCCCCTTAGCTTGCTTAAGACGGGCACTTAGTGTCCCCCTAAGTGGGGGACTCCCTCTGTGAATCCCTTGGGAGTCGTTCTGTGTTCTTCTCCCAGCGCAGGCACACGCGTTTATCGTGTTTATGCGTTTATGCGGCTTTCCCCTTCGCAAAATGTTTTGTGCCGCCGCCGGGTTAAATCCTCTAGAAGGATTTTCTCGCCTATATCATCGGATGTTTTTACATGTTATGAGGTGCTGGTTTTGGCTGGAGGCTGCTTTTAGTTTCTACAGCAGGCGTTTGAGTGAAACTGTCAGCGACTTAACTGCATTTTAAACCCCTTTGGAGCCCTGTTTTGGCACTGGCTGGCTTATGCCTTAGGTTGAATTGCTTGCACACACGCTTAAAATACATCGGTTTCCTGTAGGAGTTAATATTTCCAGATTGCTGATTTCTAGCTTTAGCCAATAAAACAACATACTGATTACTTCATATTTAGCATAAAGCAAAAACTTGTCCTGAAAACAACACATAAAACAGACATTAAAGACATTACTTTGGTCATTTGTTCTAATATTTAATGCTACTTTTTATTTAGTACAATCATCCTTTTGAAGATGACATACTTGTTTCCATGGACACTCTCACTTACGATACACCTGACGGTAAGATCTCCTTAAAGCTACAATGTTTGCATAGTGTAGGTGTGGACTTAGTAAAGCATACATGTGTTGGCAGCTACAGAATATTTAAGTGCAACAGATACTGAATTTTGGTATGACATTTCATACGAAGACTTTAGTAATACCAAGAGTTTACTCCTATGTGCACGTTTAGTCTATTGCATGCCCCATTTTAGACAAGAAAATGGTTATTAGCAAAGTTCAGGACAAAAAATGGGTAATTTTTGAATGACATTGTGAAAAACGCCAAGCACTTGGTTTTTAAAAGTTTAATAATAATAAAATGGTTATAAAAATAGTAGTACAAATAGAGTAATAAAAGTTTAGATTTAGGACAATTACAAGACAATAAAAAGCAAAGACTTATGGATGTCTGGATGCTCTCAAGCACTTAAACCACAAAAAGCATGCCTTGTGAACAAAGGAATAACCTTTAAAACAATACACTGTTGCATATTCATATATATTTGATAGTTATGCTTACATTGTATTTAAAACAAGAAACTCTGTTATATTTCAACTGCTTCTTTTAATCCCCATGGCATCTTGGAGTCTGAGCAAGGCTTGAAGAAATTAGCTTCTTCTGATAAGAAAACCATAAATTCTTCTTTGGAAGATTTACATGCTGTGTGACTGTTATCTTGAAGCAAGTACCTCATTCCTTTAAAAAAACCCCATGAACATAGTTTCTATTGTAACTACTAAAGCTTCCCTTTAACTACAAAACTACATTTGCCATACTATTAAAATGTCAATGCAACACAACTGATTAATATAATACATATCATAATTATCTGCGTAGAGCGAAATAATATGCATTTTTAACATACTTTAGTATACTACCAAGTGTTTACTCCTATGTGCACGTTTAATCTATTGCATGCCTCATTTTAGATAAGACAAGGGTTATTAGCAACATTCAGGATAAAGAATGGGTAATTTTTGGATGACATGAAGGAAGAAACTTGAAAATAGAATAGACTGTAAGGAAGCAAAGGAGCTTCCGAAGCAAAAGAAGCTTTTAGCAGCTCTTCCCTGAAAATCACTTCTGTGACCAGCCTTCTTCCTCTTCACCAAAAATCAATCCCTATCAAAAGTACCACATACATGAATTGCCACATCAGTTTTTGTAAATTACTGGAGAGACTGGGGACGTACCAGATGTGCACCAAAGGTTTTTTACAGACTGGCAGGCTTGCATCTCATATCCATTATCCATTGAGAGCGACAGGCAACATTCATAGAGTACTCTGATAGAAGCTGTTACTGTCCAGCTTTGGATTTGTAAAGGTTTGGGTATGCTTTTGGGTTAGTGGCTTCTGTTCAATATGGAATGAATATGAATCTCAGTCCTGAAGAGCTTTAATTAGGGCTTTAACTAACCTCAGATGCCATGGAGTCTGTCTTCATCAACTAAAATCTAGAAACTAAAATCATTTACCTTTTTTTCCCATCTTGGTAGAATATGGGGCTGTAATGCTCTTTGGATTTTAGCTCAGTCTTGTTAGACTCAGCATGTGATTTTCTTTTTTGTCTTGCCTGCCTTCGCAGCTTGGATTACCATATTCTCCTGGTTTGTTTTCCTTTAAATTTTTATTACAGCAAATGTGGTGGACAGCTCAGATTTGCTAATGCTGTGTTATTCTGGAATATGCTGTTCCTAAATGTTTGTTAGAGTGATATTCAGTATAGGTGGTATTATAATATGTGGTAATACTGTTGCTTTTTGTTTTTTCTAGGACCTAAACAATGGGAGCAAGTGTCACAGAAGGATGTTAGAAAATGGAGAAAGAAAATATTTAAGGTATTTAATAATACAGTCCTACCATGCAGCCAAAATGCAGCAATATTTCTTCATGGATGTATAGGTAGATAGGATTATATTCCAATCTTACCTTTGCCATACAATATTTTCAGAGGTATTGAAGAGGTCAACATCTGCTTTGAAATAGAGTTTTAGGATAGATTAAGATTTTTCTGATGCTTTAGGCTAAAATAGATGACCATTTATCAGTGGTTAGCACCACTAGTAAACCTGGAGAATTTTTTTTTTTAATTGCTGTCTGTTAGGAATGTCTAGTTTTGGAACTCATTAGAATGTGTTCAGTGCAGTTAATGCATTGAATCAATTTATCTTTTTTCAGGTAATCAGCTCTTTGATTCCCCAGGGGTTTCTGGTTTCATCTTTAGTTGCTTTTTTTCTTCCCTGTGAAATAATGCCAGATTAATTAAAGAATCTTTGCAATGTCAGCAGTCAGTGTGTCAGGTAAGCCCATGGCCTGTATGGTGTGCCTTGGCAGCTAACCCAGAGCTGCTCTGAACAGCACAGAGTGAGGGCATGAGGAATGCAATTCAGTCTGAGGGAACAAGAGTTCATTTAATGGAGACCACCAAGAGGCTGAATTTTGGGTTCCCTTTCCACTCCTGGTAATACCTCGTGCACAGTCTACAAAGCATTGCTGCACAAGTTTCCCAATTAAACCCATAAAAGGCTGTGAGGGAAATTCTCTGTCTTAGCCTCTTATGTGGGCCAAGGTATGTTCTTGCAGTGACTTTAGCAGCAAGAGTAAGGGAAAGAGTAAATGATCAGGTAAATTTCACCAGACACTTGTGGCTTTTCTGGTCAGGCCAGGGCAATCCTGAGCAAATCACATGGTTTTGTAGCTGTGGGCTATACTAAAGTAAATAAAGACAATGGTTAAAATTATTGTGCTTTTCTTTGATTATTCTTTTTTATTCTATTGCAGCGTTATAGTCAAAGACCAAGGATCACAGGTACTGTTTGTTTAAAAAAAAAAATCCTGTTATAAATTATCTTAGGCCAAGAGTCTTGACTTAAAGGAAGGTATTCAGGTTCATGCTAAACCCTTTAGGCTACTGATTGGACTTTGTGTGAGAAACCGTCTAGTAAATCATCAATATTACTGTTCAAGTTGTTAAAGTTGGGTGATCCACTTTCTCATAAAAAAATAAGCTTGGATAGATTTGTATTTATGCATGTATTTATATTTATTCCATAGAAAATAGAATCTCACAGGTTTTATCCTGTTTAAGAAAACCATACCTTGCTCAAACAAAATTAAACCAACCCATATACCTAAAACTCACAACCCAAAAAAGATACTTCTGACTATGGATTATTAAAGGAAAAGTATGGATTTTAATTGCTTTGTCTTAAGTAGACTTAAGTGTTTTAAATGAAGATACATAAAGCTTTGTGCTATTATGTGTAAACATTAAACAAATACCTATCAATGGACACCTCTCCTTTGAATATAACTTGTGTTGTTTTTTTCTAACTCACAGTCCTGAATTTTGTTAGATTAGAGCTTTGTGATTTGGATAGAATGTCCAGCAGCATCATCATGTTTTACTGATTCAAATGACAATCCTTTGAGTGGAGAGCTTTTTTTCAAATATATTGCAGCTCTCAATGTGGGAGGACCAGGTATATTAAATTTCAGACTCGCAGAGAAGTGATATTTCTATCACATATATATTACCTGCCTAAAATGGCTTTTTTCCCTGAGAATTTTTTGGAAACAAAATATGCTCTGTGGTGTTTCACATATCTTGCTTAGTAAGGGATTTCAACTGGAGACTACTTTGTTCTTCTAATTTCCTCTGTTCCCAATCCAGCTATCTTTGGAAAAGGCACAATTCAGCTTCTAAAAGACTGTTGTTGAGCAAGTAACACAGTAGTGTTTTGCAAAAGCACGAAGATTAATTTCCAGAGAAGGTTACAACCTTAAGCCAGAGCCTTCTAGGTATATGCTTGTTGAATTTTATGAGAGGGTGATTTTATAGCCACTGGTTGGAAAATTGTGCTTAGAATAATTATCAGTAGTCTGTGTCCAAACTTGAGGGAAGCATGGGGGATTTTTTACAGGATTTCTCCTGCTCACTTTATTGGTTTATGCTTTACTTAAGTAAATAAAAGAAGAGGGAATACCGTTAAATAACTCTCATATGATAGCAGGTAATGTTGACGACTGAGAAGGCTGCCTGACAAATTTGGGCTAAAACTTAAAGTAAAATATCTTCAGTTTCATGCAAAGAAGTTCAAAGTAATAGACTTATTTTGGAATAATCAAATGCTGAAGGGACAATTTTGAAAGTGGTTTGAGTCAACCAAGGAGATGGCACTCCGCTGTAAAAATAGCACACACAGAAGATATGCACAGGTGCCTTGAACAGGAAGCACACAAAACAGGTTTTATGCACTGTTCAACAGTGATAAAAAGTGTGCTGGAGTACTTTGGTTTGTGTTTCATTATAGTGTGATTGGCCAGATTGAGTCAGAAAAAGAAACCAATTACTAGAGCCACTGGTGATAAGACATAGATAGAAGGAAAAGTAAAAGAAATTGAAAACAGAAATAACAAGAGAAGCTAAGTATTATAAAAGTAATAGAGCTTATTTTTCCTCCCTTTCATGCTAAGAAATATCAGAGGAACAGAGCAGTGGTGTTGAAGATGAGCACTCAACAGTACACCAGGTATGGGTGCCACATTGCATCTGTTTAGATGGAGTGTTCCAGGCCAGGCTGGGGGAGGCTTGGAGCAATCTGCCGTCACAGAGGGGTTGGCACGAGATGATCTTTAAGGTCCCTTCCAACCCCAACCATCTTGTCAGCCTCTTTGGGAAAACATATTGGTGGAGTCAAAAGCTAAGAAATCATTTATGAGCTGGTGGTCCTGTATCATGATACCTGTACTGGATTTCAACTGAGTTATTAGGTTTATTTGAAGGGGGAGAGGGAGAGCAGTTGGATATATAGGCTTTTAACCATCAAGTACCTTTTTAGCTTGGCAATATGTGGGTGTAACTTTTTAAAGTATTATTTGTAAAATCTGCGTAGTCTAGAATAGGTTCTTTTGACTCAAAGTAAGTTTGTGTATAGACTTGTTAAGAAAGGTGGTGTGAGTTGGTCAGAATTAGTGAAATACAACTCTGTTTGTTTCACCACTATCACCACCCCCCGGAAAAAATTGAGGAAGTAGTGAAAGCAGAAAAATTCTATGGGCTAATTAAGATGGCTTAATCTACCAGCTATTAAAATTCCTTTCATGTGCTTTTAAGGAATCTTCTGAGAACCCTGGTGTGGAAATATCTAATACAGGTGGGTTTTTTCTTTTACTACTTATCTAACCTTTATTTCACTTTACTTTGAAAGATGCAAATAGCTTTTTCATCACTTTGTAATATAGCAAACTTAGTTTTCATACATGTTCTGTACTCTTTCAGAAGGTAGACAATAGGAACTGCAAGAGTCTGAGGTATGAGTAGTTCTATGAAATCAGTTTTTATATTCTTCACTTTAGTGAATTTTAGTCCTGATTCACTGATACATTGAGAGTCAATGTGGAATGTGTTCAACTGTTCTTTCCCAATAAAGGAAGGAATAATGGAAAAAAAAACTTGGTCTAGGTGTCAGACGTTTTATTAGGAGTCAGCATAGATACATTGACTATTAGGAGAGTGGTAAACACAGGTTTGCAGTCAGTTGCAACAATTTTTCAGTAGTGTTTCTAATGGTCTTGGCATCAGTCGTGAAGCTTTTTAACAAGGTTTTGACCTTCTATTCCCAAATCATTATTTGATTCTGTTAATTAGTGGGAACTGACTTTGACTTTTTTTTTTTGTATTTATAACGGGTATTATTCAACATGCAGTCATTAACTTGCAGTGTGCGTGTTTAAAAACATTTCTGTTTTGAGTTCACCTGTCTTTTAATTGATATTAACCTTCAAATTGCAGATGAAGAAAGTGATGACGTAGTCTCAGTAGGAAGAAAGTTTGAAGGCATTCACCTGCAGGTAAAAATTCTGGGTGTCTGATAGAATGTAATGATTCAATAGAAACTATTAATGAATTAACTATTTTACTAGTTTACACGTGCCAGATGAGTTGATATACAGTCAGCAGAAGACTTGATATGGTCTGCATCTTAATGTACATTTTTAGCAAGTGAGGGATTCAATAAATAGTGACACAAAGACCAATGACAAGTGATATTATTGTCTTGCCCATACCCATGGGCCAGAGAAAACCCTGCAATGTACTGCATCAGCAGGCAGCTCTGAGAAAGGCCTTTATAAGTAAGGGAAAGGAGGAACCAGATGGATCACAAGGTGAAAACACTTAGGAGAAGTATGGTCATTCACCTGAGAGTCTAGCATAAATAGGTAACATGACTTAAAGCAAATGGTAAATGTGAACTAATGGCTGCTATAACAAAAGCAGCCTGGAATCTTCTGCTGTTGCTTCCCAAACTAGACTATGGTCAGGACTAGCCAGAGTTATTCACATTGCTGGGGGAAAATATAACACACACTTTGTGTGTGCAGCCATTGTAATCCTGTGTTCTGCTTGCTCAAATAGCATTGCCAAAAATGGGATTTACTTTCCTTACTTGTTTAACACAGTGCTGGTGTCCTCTCTCTGACAACAGCTAATGCAATCAACTTCAGAAAGGGACACTTTGACTAATGAATTGCCTTTTCTTACAAAATTCTCTTGGATTTCACATTGAGGATCATTGCAGAGTAGAGCTTAAGTTGTATATGAGTTGTCATGGGATGGTAAGAGTACATGTAAAGATTTGCAGCTGTAATTATCAGAGCTTTGTAACCATTTTCCTTTTTTTCTCTTTTCTTTATTTGAGTGATTTGTTTGTTGGCTTGTTTGTTTTTATCAGTGGATCTTTAAGGCAGTGTGTGCTCTTCCCTGAATAAACTTGTTAATTATTGTTTTTTATATATCTTCACGTATAGTTCCTTCTTGGGATTTGGGGTCTTTTTGGTTTTTAGAGGGGGGATTGTTGCCTGAGATGTATACATTAGAAATAAGTTTATGCTGGTTGCATATCCTGATCTGAAGGATACTAGTTTGCAGTAAATCAGAATAATCAGTCTGGAGTTGCCTGAGCCAATAATTTCTATGTGTTTTAATAATTTTATTTTCCTCCTAGAATCTGATTGCAGATGATGGGCAAATCTTCAAGGAAGAAATAATTCCAGTGGATGTGATAGTACAAGGTGATGAGAGAAATATTCCCAAATGGATAACGGTAACATATTTCTCCTAAATTACTAGTTTGAATAAAATAAAAGCTCTTTAACTGGGTAGCAGTTAAATGAGTTCTAACACAACTTCTCTGTGGTTCTCCCATTGTCTGTGTAGATATTGTAGGATCTTGGTGTTTTGACAGCTCTGATATGTAAGAAGCAGAGCAAATCTTTTACAAATTTGTTTTCACTTTTGTTTTACATTTATACTTTGATCTTTGAATCCTGATGTGCAGGTTGATCTTTGAGCTGTCTGTTTTCCACAAAGTCTACATCTGAGCTTTTTTGGGGGGAAAAAGAAAAGGATTGGCTTTGTTTTGATTTGGGGGGTGAGGAAGATCAGAGGCGCAGTGTCATGATACAGGTACAGTTTCTCTTTTCTGCTGGAGCTGCCAGAGATGTCTGGATTATTCAGGTCTGTGTGTAGCTATAGATCCGTGGGTAAATTCTTACAAAATATAAATTCCTATCTCAAATTGATAGGGGTTAATACATGACACATAATGTACCAGTTGAAAACGTAATGAATAGCTTTCCAAGAATAACCTAGTAACTCCTAAAGCTTCCTACTGAAGTCTTAGACTAGATGTTTTCCACTTTGTCTGAACTTGGGTGAGCCCTTAAAGACCGTGACTCTACATGACCCAGAATAGCAAGAGGCAAGGAAGGCACAAGTTAGGTTTTGTTGATATCTCTAACATACTAAAAACTCAGAACATTAGTTTGTTTTTTTCTTTCTTTGTTTTCCAGATAACAACTCCAGTTTCATCTAAAAGTCATCATTCAACTTCACCAGGGCAAAAACGGCTTGGTAAAATTTAGTCTTTGTCTGTTGGTCAAATATTAGTTACAAAAGTGTTTTTATTCAAATTCATTAGAAAAAAATATTTCTTTTTTAGGGAGGTTTTGACCTTGTATCACCAGATAATTATTTTATTAGGTAAATTATCAGCAACTGATTTTGACTAGCTTTTTTTATGTTTAAAATTGGTATTACTCAACATTTTTGATTCTTGAGCCAATGAAAACTTCTACTGCTTTTCATAAACTAAGCTATGGCTAGGCAGTAGCCAGCAGTTAATGGCCGAAAGAGGATTTGCAGTAGAGTTTGGTTAGTTTGGGGTTTAAGTACTCTGTGTGTTAAATTAGCTTCTTGATCTCCATAGCTGCCTCTAAGGCTGACAATTACTTCCCTGCTGAGGGAAATGTTTCCTACTGTCATTTGAGAGGATAATTTCACATAAGCTTGTGAATGAGACAATGATTTCTTCCAATTTAGAATGCACAAGTTTTTTTTTCAACCTGCTTGATGAAACCTAGGAGAAATATTTCAGAGGCACCTGTAGCTTGGCTGCTGTAAGTTCCTTTGCAGTTTGCACTTGTGGGATAAATGAGTCCAGTGCTTCAGACTCTGGTTCTTTCATAGCAGCATACAATAAAATGATTAACCCCTTCTCCTCCTCCTCCACCTACGAATGGTCTGTGAAGAGTCTGGTGAGGATTTGTAGAAACCTCAGTGAGTTCCAGCTGTCTCCAAATACAGTAAGATGTAGAAATTAGATTCTTAGGGAGATGGGATTGGATTCCTCACAAAAAGATGGAGTGCACTGAGCTGTTTGGGATATGTGGTGTTTTGGCTTTTAGTTGTTTTGGTGGGTTTTTTTTAGGGCTGCTTTTCTTGGTTGGGTTTTGGTGGTTTTTTTTGATATATAAAAGCTTACCAATAGGGCATACTAATTTAAGAAAAAAATCTCTCTTCAGCTGTTTTAGCTAAAATTTTAATTTTGGGCAGGTGTTATCCATTTTTTAGTATTTGTACAGTATACTTCACACTTCTCAGTGAAGGCAGAGTTTCTTCCAGGTATTATACACTGTTTTTGCGTTGAAAGTGTGCAGAGCTTGTCAACGGCAGGTAAAAGTCAAGTGGAACAGTTCTCTGGGCCTGCAAGTATTAGCCTGTCCTTAATAGGGAAAGTCCTTAGGATTACCCTCTTGCTTTCTCAGGAAGTAGCATAGCAGAGTACATCAACAATAACTTGTATATAACAATTACTTGTATCTACTATCACAGAAAACTGAATTCATTTGGAGAAAAGGATCAGTAAGTTATAAATTAGGGAATAAGTGTTTTGGATGCACCTCCTGTGAAATAGTTTTCTGGAATAAGCGTCATATTTTTGAGAGAACAAGGTGGAAGTTTCTTTTTTTTTTTCTTCACTGTTCTCCCTTTGAGGTGCAAAGGTGTTACTGAATAGCCCTTTGGCCTTTAAAACCACTTTCCCATTCCCTGGAGAGAATACTTTTATTTCTCCATTCTGTGCCATGGCCTTCTGCTAATTACTGAAGGTCCTGTCATTTGGAAGTATGACCACCAGCACATTGAAGTTATACTAAAATGAGTTTTTTGAGGATTCATGCTTAGAAGAATTTTCCATGTGAATACAAATCTTCTCATTCTTTGTTACAAGCTGTTTTTTTGATAGTTTATACTAGTTGTGATGGAGTCAGCCACTCCTGGACACAGGAGTTGTTCTGTTTATCTCCAGACCTGCCCATTTTTGTAGCTGTCCAGTCTGTTCATCCTGATGAACATTTAGGAAGCAATCTGACAGATGTGTGCCCAATTATACTGGAGGAAGATTGTATGGCAGAAAGAGTAGTGGCAGTTTAAGAGTAGTATGATGAGGTGTCATAACCAGGGTTATTTTCACTCACAATTCCCAGGGTTACTCTCCTCTCCTTTTTCCCTCCCTCTGGTGAGTTCAGGGAAATTCAGCATTCTGGGCTGAAAATGCAGTCATCTATTTTATGCTCATGGATGACTGATTTTAGCTAATGATGAATTGGAAGGTCTGGCTACATCGAGGAAACAAATATTTTCTTGCATTTCATTCACAAAAGCACCCACAGAATGCCTAAACCTGAGTAAAAAGATTCAGACTTGTTTTTTCATATTCTCAAGTGTGCCTTCTTTCTCACTCTGTGAGTCCTAAGGTGATCTTGACAACAGGAAGCTGCTAAGAGGAAGGGTGAGAGAAAGTCCTTACAATCTTTGTTGGGATATTTAGGAATGTAGTGGGGATTCTGCATTAATGATTAATGAATCTTAGAGAGCAACAAAAGAAAACATTAAAAATATTTTCCTCTCTGAAATGTTTAATATTAATTCTAAAGAACTGATTGCAGACAACTTTTCTTTACTCTTCTTTGCTCTACTGAAGTCATTTATGAACCAACAAACCTTGCTTTTCAATTGGAATTGAAATGGAAAGGTAATACAGCTGAAAGTTATAGTGTAGAAAACTGCTTTCTAGAATGAAAATAATGCAGTCATTAACTTGCAGTGTGCGTGTTTAAAAACATTTCTGAGTTCACCTGTATTTTAATTGATATTAACCTTCAAATTGCAGATGAAGAAAGTGATGACGTAGTCTCAGTAGGAAGAAAGTTTGAAGGCATTCACCTGCAGGTAATAATTCTGGGTTTCTGATAGAATGTAATGATTCAATAGAAACTATTAATGAATTAACTATTTGACTAGTTTACACATGCCAGATGAGTTGATACAGTCAGCAGAAGACTTGATATGGTCTGCATCTTAATGTAGATTTTTAGCAAGTGCGGGATTCAATAAATAGTGACACAAAGACCAATGACAAGTGATATTATTGTCTTGCCAATACCCGTGGGCCAGAGAAAACCCTGCAATGCACTGCATCAGCAGGTAGCTCTGAGAAAGGCCTTTATAGGTAAGGGAAAGGAGGAACCAGATGGATCACAAGGTGAAAACACTTAGAAGAAGTATGGTCATTCACCTGAGAGTCTAGCATAAATAGGTAACATGACTTAAAGCAAATGGTAAATGTGAACTAATGGCTGCCATAACAAAAGCAGCCTGGAATCTTCTGCTGTTGCTTCCAAAACTAGACTATGGTCAGGACTAGCCAGAGTTATTCATATTGCTGGGGGAAAGTATAACACACACTTTGTGTGTGCAGCCATTGTAATCCTGTGTTCTGCTTGCTCAAATAGCATTGCCAAAAATGGGATTTACTTTCCTTACTTGTTTAACACAGTGCTGGTGTCCTCTCTCTGACAACAGCTAATGCAATCAGCTTCAGAAAGGGACACTTTGACTAATGAATTGCCTTTTCTTACAAACTTCTCTTGGATTTCACATTGAGGATCATTGCAGAGTAGAGCTTAAGTTGTATATGAGTTGTCATGGGATGGTAAGAGTACATGTAAAGATTTGCAGCTGTAATCATCAGAGCTTTGTAACCATTTTCCTTTTTTCCTCTTTTCTTTATTTGAGTGATTTGTTTGTTGACTTGTTTGTTTTTATCAGTGGATCTTTAAGGCAGTGTGTGCTTTCCCCTGAATAAGCTTGTTAATTATTGTTTTTTATATATCTTCACATATAGTTCCTTCTTAGGATTTGGGGTGTTTTTGTTTTTTGAGGGGGATTGTTGCCTGAGATGTATACATTAAAAATAAGTTTATGCTGGTTGCATATCCTGATCTGAAGGATACTAGTTTGCAGTAAATCAGAATAATCGGTTTGGAGTTGCCTGAGCCAATAATTTCTATGTGTTTTAATAATTTTATTTTCCTCCTAGAATCTGATTGCAGATGATGGGCAAATCTTCAAGGAAGAAATGGTTCCAGTGGATGTGATAGTACAAGGTGATGAGAGAAATATTCCCAAATGGATAACGGTAACATATTTCTCCTAAATTACTAGTTTAAATAAAATAAAAGCTCTTTAACTGGGTAGCAGTTAAATGAGTTCTAACACAACTTCTCTGTGGTTCTCCCATTGTCTGTGTAGATATTGTAGGATCTTGGTGTTTTGACAGATCTGATATGTAAGAATCAGAGCAAATCTTTTACAAATTTGTTTTCACTTTTGTTTTACATTTATACTTTGATCTTTGAATCCTGATGTGCAGATTGATCTTTGAGCTGTCTGTTTTCCACAAAGTCTACATCTGTGCTTTTTGAGGGGGGAGAAAAAAGGATTGGCTTTGTTTTGATTTGTGGGGTGAGGAAGATCAGAGGTGCAGTGTCATGATACAGGTACAGCTTCTCTTTTCTGCTGGAGCTGCCAGAGATGTCTAGATTATTCAGGTCTGTGTGTAGCTATAGATCCGTGGGTAAATTCTTATAAAATATAAATTCCTATCTCAAATTGATAGGGGTTAATACATGACACATAATGTACAAGCTGAAAACATAATGAATAGCTTTCCAAGAATAAACTAGTAACTCCTGAAACTTCCTACTGAAATCTTAGACTAGATGTTTTCCACTTTGTCTGAACTTGGGTGAGCCCTTAAAGACCATGACACTACATGACCCAGAATAGCAAGAGGCAAGGAAGGCACAAGTTAGGTTTTGATGATATCTCTAACACACTAAAACTCAGAACATTAGTTTGTTTTTTTTCTTTCTTTGTTTTCCAGATAACAACTCCAGTTTCATCTAAAAGTCATCATTCAACTTCGCCAGGGCAAAAACTGCTTGGTAAAATTTAGTCTTTGTCTGTTGGTCAAATATTAGTTACAAATAGAAAAGTTTTCATTAGAAAAAATATTTTAGTTCTTGTAAACAAAGGTGTTATTTATCCAGCTGAAAACTTCAATCACCTGGATTTCAAAGAAAAGTTAGACATGATTTTGCTTATGGTAAAATGTATTTGGAAAACAAAGCAAATAACTTACGTGTATAAATCCAGCTTTTCTTATGCAACCTCAGGAACAAATATGCATGGTTACAAAATTGGGCAGCATTTAGCTGACTGAGAGCAGTGGTTTTTTGTTCTGCTTATTTTAAATTCATGGAAAGTATATACAATGGCTTTGGGTCTGCTGGCAACTGGTATTCAAAGTGGTATTTTGCCTGTAAACTTTGTTCAGAACTTTTCAGACTTAGTGCAAGCCTAAGTGTTTTAGTGTAAATAATTTAGGCTTAACATCTACAGAAAGCATTATTTTCATCATGGTTTATGAAAGCAAAAGCTACACTTGTACTAGCCACATACAAAGCTTTCAAGGAAATCAGAAAGAAAGGAAAAAAACCTTTTGGATAAGGCTGTTACTTCTGACCAGGAGTCACAAAACAGCAAAGAACTCATCCTCTGGAATGGATATCTGTATATTATGCTACTTTGAATAGTGTGTTTTTTCCAATACATTTAATTTATTTCCTCTATAATATGTGAATTCCTGTGTTTAGGAAGTGTATTAATTTTTTCTTTTGTAATAATCAGTGAGGTTATCTGAATCATATGCAGTTGGTTCTAAGTCTCACAATATGCCATTGGAAGTGCCTTAATATGTTTGGATTTTTTTCTGTCTTCTGTTTTATTTTTTGACTCATTGTAGTTTCTGGTTTGGTGTTTGTTTTTTGTTTTGTTTTTTTTTTAATAGGCCGTCAAGCTGCTGTTAGCAGAAAGAAGCTAGAGCTGTCAAATGAGTGTTCTTCATCCAAATATCCACAGTTACAGCATTCTGCTGTTCCCATTTCATCAAATACAACAGCCTCACCCAGGCACCAACCTTGTCCAGAACTGAGAAAGACTTCATGTGATAGTATCCTTGGAGAATACCAGTCTGCAGATGAGGAATGCTCCTTGAGCAATACAACTCTTGCAGACTTGTATCCAGCAATGGTAGAGACATTTACAAAGCTCATGAAGAAGCATTCTCAGAGCATTGTGTTCAAGTACATGTTTGGACGCCTACGGTCCAAGAAGAGGTATTCTAGAAGACCAAAGCTCAATGTCACTGTAGACAAAATGAGAGGGTTTGAACCCTGTAAACTAAAGGAATCATTTCACAACACGTGTAGCTGTGGAATTGAAGACAACCAAAATCCAACTTCTGGAAAGAAGAGCGGAGAATTCTGTTGTGACAGTTGCCCCGTTAATAATTCGTCTGGGCTGGTGCCTTATGCTTATACTGATACAAATGAAATCAAAATGCCTTACTCTGACTCAAGTTTAGAACAACATTTGGCATCTGGAAAAAGCCTAGAAATCTGCAAAGACACTACTTTTCCTGATGTTATGGGTAGAATAGGAGAGACATTTCTAGTTGAAGATAAATTACAGACTACTGCCACACCCAAGAGTTCAGAATACAGAGAAATTGAAGAACATACTTACAAACATTTCTCAGAACCTAGTTTTATAACATCTACTGCCAGTTCAGATTCAAGAGTGCTTCATCTTGTAAAAGAGAGTAAGACTGAGAAAACTGACTCTTGTTTTGGTACCTCAGAGTTGTGTTCATCTGCTTGTAGTTCCCCTGGTAATAGAAACAATTCTATCCCTATCACAAATTGTTCTCCTGCAAAATCATCATTAAATACTGTGTTTGTATATCCTCAAAAAATAATTTCTGAAAGACGAACTTCTTTCCAGCACAAAGACTCATTTTCCTCCTGGCTTATGAAGCAGAGTCCTTCAAACAAGCCAAATAAATATGAAGATTCATTTGAGGAACTCTACAACAAAGTGTGTTCTGAAAAATTCCAAAAGCCTTTGACATTGACAAGACCGCTTTTAAACTCGCAGAACCTTGAAGAGAAAGGAACATTAGTGAAGAGTAATCTAAGTGATTCTGGGAGGTCTGCTAATCGGTGTGATATAGAATTTGACAGGCTCTTTGAGAAACTGTGTGGGGAGTCTGTTCCAAAATTTCCTGGGCTTCAGGCAGCTTTAAATTTCAAGAAATATGAAGAAATGCAGATACCTGAAACTGTAAATGCACTTGTTAATTCTCCTGTCCGAGCTTATCCTGCAATTTCCAGAGTTAAAAGAGCAAATTTTTTAAACTATCTTCCTTGTTCACCAGTAAAGCGACTGAAACTTACACCAGAACATTGTTTTTCTCCAAGGAAATGTCAGGATATTTTCCACAGTGAAAAGGGTAATCTTCAGACAGGCAGCATGGATTTCTTGAGCAAATACAGCTGTAGCAACCCCAGCTCTTTTGCTGATCACAACTCTCATTGTCAGGTATTTAAGGACCTTGGGGGGAAAAAAATCGTGCACCTTTAGATATTTGGAGAAGGGCTTAAGAATGGATTAGAGCTGCAAGCTGTTTTAACTAGGGATAGCATGCTTCTGGTGCTTTTTGGTCAATCAGCTTTTACAGCTCTGGGGACTTGGGGATATCAGGTCTCCTGGATCCATGTGATGAAGCTCTCTATACTTAATAAATATGAAATGGTTCTAAATTAAAGTTTTTACTCCATTTTAATAGGCAATGTCACTGAAAGAAATAGTCTCAAATAGTGACTTGGTTATGGTGTTGTCCTGAAATGAGATTATTTTAAAGATGGACAAGTTCACAGTCATTTCTTCTGAGGCAAGCTGTGAAATAGTATATATTTTTAATGAATGTAATATGTTGCTGCTTTATTTTCAGGGCTCTAGATCTCATGATTCTTCAGATGAAAGTTTTCTTGGTATTCATGGCACTTCCCTGCAAGGTTCGTTTCAGATACTTTACTAATTCATGCAAGAGTATTTTCTTAAGGAAGTGTTTCCAATGTTTAAATATGCTGGTACTTAAACAACATTCTGTAATGTTCATGCTACTCAACACTGTTCTTGCCCTTTTCATTCACTTTTTCTAATCACCAGAATCTGGGACTGCAGGTGCACAGTCTGGTTGGCCTTGGGCAATGGAGAATTGCTGCTCTTTAAGTAATGTGAGGAAGTGTCAATCAAGGTAATAATAATCTCTTTTTTAAAGAGATTTCAAAATTAATTCTTACTCCTCTTAATAAAGACACAGAGGTGACGTGTATATTTGTCAAATGGAAATGAGTGTGGGAGAGCCCTGGCTAATCACAGCTGCAGACTTGAACACTGAGAGGCAAGTGTCTGTGCTCCAAATTAGCCAGACTCCAGCAAGGAGAGCTGCTGAGCACAAGACATGAGATGACCTGACTGAATACCTACTGTAATCCTTATCTGGTGTTCATGATAAAGGCAGTTATTATTTTAGATATGCTATGGAATTGTTTTGATCGTGGCTCTGTGTTTAAGCTGACAAGAGAGGAGTGCAGCATATTGCCATTTAAAAGGACTTGCAGAAGTTGGCCTCTGTGCAGTTGGGCATCACTACCTGCATTTTGGCTTTGTGTGAGAAAGCAGTGCCTCTGTTTGGAATATGTCAGGGATCCTCTCCTCCTGCTATTATCACTACTGGCTGTGTATTTAGATCTCTGGAAGCAGGACAGTTGTCTCAGTTCCCTGAATACTGGCTTAAAATGTCTGGTTTTCATAAAAAAAATAGGTAATTTATAAGGGATTATCAAGCTTCAGATCTCTTGGATTGTTAATTACAAGCATCTAATATTCTAAGGATTCTAAAATCATTAAAAGATCTCTAAAATATTTCTAATTTTATTTACCAAAACATTTTTGACATACTTTTTTGCCATAAGTGCAGTTTGTCACCAGACACTATGCTAGCTTCCCAAGCTCATTCAAGAAATATTTTCACTATGCTTGAGCTCATCATATGGGTTGATATCAACATTAACTGATAATGTTTGAATTAGAAATTCAAAGGAAGGCTGAAAGCATTTTCTAAACTACTTGTATGGAGAATTTAACCAGAAAAGAAGTTTAATGATGTAAAGAAAAAAGTTTCAGTTTAAGCAAAGATGGAATTGAAATTTAGTCTTGTATTACAAATACATAAAATATTGATAAAGATTATATTTGGATTATTTATTATATAATGGAAGATTAGAGACAAGCTGATGATTATGCAAGGACATTTGTGATGTTGAGTATGCCCACTTAGCTGAGCAAAGTTCTTCTCAGATCTTGGATTTCCTTTTGTTTTTCCTTACTGTGTCATCCTGTCTCCCCATACAAAACAGCCATTCCTGTAAGATTAGTTATTGTTTTTTAAAGGAAATGGTTTTTCTTTCTTTAATGCATATAAGTAGAGAAGTCAAGATTTCAGAGTTTTCTTCCAAGTCATCTGGAATGAAATCTATTTCTTTCTTCTTTGCTTACATAAATACATGTTTGCTGATTTGTAGCCAAAATGAGCTGTCAGCTGGAAAGCTTCCTGAGGCCTGTGGTGTGATATTTTTAGCTTTCTATGGTTCCCAGGAGTGAAGCTTTTTAATGGCTTCAGATCCCTCAGAGGTTTAATGCCTAAGCCACATGGAAAAGTGCTCTATTTTGTAATGAATGGTTGTGAAAAGAAAAGGAATAATGTCTTTCTGACTGGAACCAGATTGACTTTATCTAGAAAATTATTATGAAAGAGATTTCTAAAAAGGAAATGTTCATATCTAAGGAACTTTTCTTCAGCTCTGTGTGAATGCTGTCCTACAGTTTTACTGTTATATTTAATTGTCACGTGTAAACCAAATTAGTTTAAAATAGGAGAGAAAATTTATGCAATTTCTTAAGTAATATGCAAGGTGTTCTCACTTGTCTTTACCTTTTAACTAGTAGTGAATGCATTCCAAGACTGCATCTCAAAGTTTAATGGATATACATAACTTAGATTGATCTAGTAGCACTACTGAGGCATTAAAATGACACAGCATGAAAAGCTTCCTCTCCATCTGAAAGCACATAGGATAGCAGACAAGGAGCCCTGCTGCTGTTCACAGTCAAGATGTCCAGATAACTTGCTTTGACAATTTATTTCAATTTCATCCTGTTCATTGAAGTTTCAGCAAATTTTTGTGTAATTTACTCCATCATCTAAACAGGCGTTTTGGATTTTTTTCCCTAGGGTGTACAGAAAACTAAGCTACAGTGATGGGAAAGACCAATTGTGATAATCCTTTGGATGACTCTCTGGTTAAAACTCACCAAGAAGCATTACTGCACTGTTACAGTGGAAAAAGTTTTATATAGTCTGTGTTTTATTCAGTGTTGTTTCTTCTTCCGAGAATCACAGATGTATGGTAATATATGTAAGCAATATATATATATATTGATATATGTAAGCAATACACAACTAGTTCTGATTCATACTTCCTTGTAGTTCAAATCTTTGGGAAAGATTTTGTCCCTTTTAACAGCGCACTTCTTACTCAATTTATGGCTAAGTTGGAATTTTATATTTGACAGTATTTGTAATAACAGAATGTGATCTGTATTCATTTATTTGCTGATAAGCTTTGATTCTTACTGTATTAATAATAAGGAACAACCTCATTTACCTAAATTGCTGCTTACTCATGTTTTTTGCATATATCAGTGAAGACCCAAAAATCACTGCTATATGCTATGATTTGACTCTACTATGCAATGTTAATGTTAAAATTTTCCAGAGCTGATTGTTCAATAAGATTTTATACTTTTTATTAGATATGCATTCTGTGTTTTGACAAAATTGTACCTAACATCGTCTATGTCCTAAATAAAAAAATTGTTCTGAACAAATACCTGCCTTCAACATTTTATTTCACCTGTGTGAATTCTCAGGAGGAGTTTGTATGCCTGCATGAGCAAATCCATGAGAATGAGGTAGGAGGGTCCCACAGGTTTTTCCTGCTGTGGCCTTTCTTGGCAAGGGGATTGATTGTTTTAGTGGTGTCAGAGCAGGTATTTGCTGTTTTATCAGTGCTGCCCCTTGTTATCTTTCTGAGCTTTAGAAAAAGAAGAAGTTGGCTTTCTTTGGCTTTATTTCCAGACACACAGGAGGATTTTATTTTAGCTCTTAAAACCAAAATCTTGTTATCTTAAGTATTGTTCTTGAATAGGACAAAAAAACAGCTCTGGTGAGGTTTTCTCTGCAATAAGAACTTCTGCACACACATTCCCTCCTTCATAATTTGGATATTATGTGTCTTTCCATGACAGCAGCAAAATAGTATCTTTTAGAAATGCTTTTGGAGCTCTTTTTTCTTCCTTTTCCTGACATGGATGCGCTGTAGGGAATATGTTTTATGAACTATCTTCTTCTTTGTTGAGGTCATTATTTCCCAGTATTGATACACTAGTACTGAGAGATTGCATAGTTCATTCTTTTCTGTTCTAAAGTAATTTAGAAGTCAACTGGAATTGGGTTTTGGACCTGTTCTGAATCTAGGTATGACTTCTACACAGCAACTCAACTCAGCTTCTACAGTGCAACTCAGACAGGTAAGAAAGGTAAGTTGCTTTATTCAACATATCAAAACTATCTTCATGAAGATTACTTTGAAATAATTTAAAGAGGTCATTCTTGGCAAACCTCTAAGTGTTGGAAGATAATATCATACCAATGCCATGTTTTGGGTGCTAGCAGTAGCAAAAAAGGGACAAAGAGTTTCTGTTTTTAGAGTTGATCCTCCTATGCCGTGTGAGCCAGCAGACTCTTAAAAGTATGGTACAAGCAAAAGTCTGTTTCTCCTAACAATACTGTTTAGCCAGGTACATCTGCAGTGGTTATCAAATGCTGTAATTACTGATGGACTACATCTGCCTCATCTTACAAAGATGTCAATGGTGCTACCTGATCTCTCGTGTTTTGAGTTCCATTCTTCTACCCTTCCAAACAGTTTCGCCTTTTCCCACTATATTTCCTCTTTTTAACTCATTCTTTTCTGTTGAACTGGTACTTTAATGCTAAGTTTACTGTTAATAAGAAAAAGCTTTACACTGCTTCTTTTTACTATAAAATTTTTTTAAGGAACAGTGGAAAAACAGATGAAGTTACTGAGACAGTGTCAACCTAGAACCTAGCACCTCCTCTTATGTTGTAATTATTTGAAACTTGCTTTATATGTAAAGAATTTAACTAGTATATGATAGTTTATGTAGGTCTTTAATGTCTTGAAAATAGAACAATATTGAACATGCTTTTTTATGTAAGGATTCAGCAGTCACTTGAAAACACCCCAAAACTCGTTAAAAAAAAAATAGGTTGTTTGTGTGCTTATTTAAGCAGATGGAGGGTAAAGAGCCAAAGGAATAAAGCTAAATTTGAATGTGGAAGCATTATAAATGTATTGGAAAGATTTGATAGGCTATTAAAGATTATCCTGAGAGCCACAATCAATTTATTGGAGGCATTGATTAAATATGAAAAGGAAATGTGTACAGATATATATAGAGAAGATTTACAAAAATGCCCTGCTCTTTGAACAAACTATGTTGCAAGGGAAAGCAGCTGATGAAAATTAGCAGAAACATAGCTGGACTAAACCATGAAGACTGAGAATAGAAAGGAAACTAAATATACTTAAATCCCATGAAGTGAGCTTACTGTTACATGTATGCTCAGTGAGAGAAGTGGGTACCTCATTTCCATTAAATTAGTTACCAGATTGAAGTGACAGGTCAAACTTAACCTTTTTTTTTTTTCCCATAAATTTGTCTCATCCCTTAATGTGTCCATCCATTCCTACTGCTAGAAGGCTACTATGAGCCTTTTGTTTCCAGGTCCATCTCTTTCAGGACCTAACATCATTTTAGGGCTCTCTGTGCTTCAGTTTCAGGCTCCTTGGCACTGCTCTGTGGATTTTAAAGGCTCCAATATCCTGGTTTTTTTGAGAAGGCAGAAGTGTCTGACACCTAGAGGCAGGCAAGTTACATCAATCTGCTTTATTGTTTCCTGCTGCAACTACTCAGTGAGTCACAGAATATAAAAATAGATACCCACTCTATAAAACCTACCATTTAAAGAGTTTCTTCAAATGAATGTGCATACAGTAAGTGAAGGGTTTGGGGAAATAAAAAGTTTTGGTGTTTTTGTAAAATAGTTAAGGATGGCAATGGAAAATCCAATAGGAATATAAACATAACATGGAGTATTAGAAGGAAGAAATCCTTCCTAGATTTATTGTTACAGATGGTGTGATAATATCTTTGTGGACCCTTTAATACAGCTGTATACAACAGTAGAGGAGTTGAGATTTGATATGCATTCCAGTATTGTTAGAAGAAACTAAAGATACACAAAAATCCTGCTAAGTCCTGTGAAATGTACAATTACTACCTTAAATCAGCTGTTAAATTATTCTCCAGTCATTGCCATAGACCAGTCACAGTCAGAAAGTTCACAGTGTGGAACAGCAGCTCAGTTCTTAATTAGTAAAACAACTAATCACCAAGTGTGCAAGCATGAAACAATTTCATTTCAAAGTATTAAAGTTAATATGGAATAGCTGTACTCTGCTAGAGCTGTATAGACAACAAGGGGGTCTTTTAGGACTGCTTGAAAGCTGATGATTGTTTAAAACAGGATCAATTCTGACTGGAATCACTACCATGTAACTGCTGAGCTACCTGCAACTTCTGCAACTCTTTCAAATTGTCTTCAGAAGAGCAGATCCATCTGAGTGGCAGTCTGGACCTGTCTTGCTTAGTCTATAAATATGCTTGGTAGCCAGTTTGGGACACTTAACTTACCCATTTCATACCACTGTTTAGCATGTCAGCTTTCCAGGGTGCTTTCTCTGGTCATTCATTGTTCCTCCAGAATGAAAAAGCAAATCTCACTTTGTGGTTACATATTTGGCTCGTTACCTATTCGGTTCTCCCCTTTTGCATTATGAATCAAGCCCATTAATCTGATGGGATCATCATGAATGGCCTCTACTTTTGCTGTGTTTTCAGCAGCCAGCTGCTCACTATTGAGGTAAATGCTAACTTTGGAAGCCACCATGGGGTTAGATGATCTTTCTTCTTCATCTTCCTCTAATGAAGGATCTTTCTTTCTCCTTGGTTTTCTGCATTTTCTCTTGACACTGTGATCAAGTGAGGCATAGCACATCTGATTGGCAGACTCCACCTGAAAGGAAATTCACTTTAATGTTCTGTAGTTATCCTTGCTTTAAATTCATGTCTAAGCTATGCTCTAACCATAAGCCTGTCTGAAATTTGCCTAAACTAGCTGTAAAACAACTCATTACAAGTACAAATTATTAAACTGTGGGGGAATGGAAAACAGATCAATATAAGTTAATGATAAATGACTGATAGTGGCAATATGGAAAAATTCATCATGGTATCATTGGAAAGATTCTCTGTGGGAAAGAAGGAAGCTCATGTGATAAGTCCAGGTTCTTTGGGATGCAAGACATTATTTGATCTGGTTTTCTTCTCACTTTTTTATTTTTTAGTTGGACTCCAGTTATTACCAGGCTTTGCTTGTGCAGAAAACCAAAGATGGATAATTACTGTCTGTATATACGATCTCATCTCCAGTGCAAAATGTATGCTTTTCATGGCTTTCCCCTGTTTTTTGTGCTTTTCAAGACAGACCATTAATGACTATTGACATTGGAATGTCTAGATTTAAAAAGTTTTTCTTTATCTGCTGGAAGTACCCTGTGAGAGAGTCTGAAAATCCATCCTTATGAAATATGTGGCAATCAAATCAGGAAATAGATGCTAGGAATGCTTCAATTATAGGCAAATTTCATTTGAAGCTTTCATGCTTTTAGGCACACAAGTATCTCAACTAAGCACAAATCAATAGAAAACAATCTTTCCCTGGTTAAGGCACATAGATTTTGCACTGGACAGGAGAGAGGCAGTCAAACTCAAGAGTATCATGTGCTGCAGCCTGTGTTTTCACTTGGTTGATAACTAAACCAAATAAAATTAATTCTTTGCTTTAGTCGTGGCCATGGATGCAAATTTAATTCCATGTGATCTGTATGCCTGTGGCTGAGATTTATTATACTGTATTGCATGGATCTGAACTGTCTGTAATTATGCTTCCTTATTAATGACTCAGATTGAATGGAAGGTCAAGTTTGTACTGAAATACCTTGATGAACTGAGCTATTAATGCATGGTAATTTTTGTGAGAGTGCGAAGATTTTTGTTATATGCTCTTACATGATAAATAAAAGAACTCTGAGACAGACCATGTTACCCTAATTCAGAAATCTGTAACTAAAATTAAAGATACCTGTAGCTGGTTAACTGGTCTTTGAGGCTGGGACTTCATCTGCTCGTAACAACATTCTTCTGTAATTTATCAAAGTAGAAAAATCTTTTTATTAAGACATGCTACTGATTCTTAAATGATCAGATCAACAGATTCTCTGTTAGAGAATGTGCTCCCCCCAGTTTGCTTTGGTAGGACGTTTGTGTTTGTTTTGAAATCACACACAGCTCTCTCCCTCTAATTATGGAGAGGCAAATAACTAAGAAATTCAGACACATACTGTGAAAATGAAAATAATTTTGTGTTCACATAAAGGAGAGGTCGCTCATTATTTACCTATATGGGTGTAATTGTAGAGTGGTTGGGAGGACTTCCTGCAATTAAGAGGTAGCCATATACTGATGATTTTTTCAGCACAGGCAGCCTTTCTTTTCACTGAGAAATAGGTTGTGAGTTGCAGCAACTGGTGATTAAATTCTGTTCCTGAGTATACTTCAGTTTTCTGTAAATTTGATTCTAGTTATTTTCTCATGTTATATCTCATTTTAGCCACCAGTAAAGAGACTACTTCCTTAGAGTTTTCAGACTATTACAATGTCACTGCATTTGAGAGTTGACTTGATTCAATTTATGCAAATTATGCATGAAAAAGTTGGGTTTGTTTGGGCTTTTTTTCCCTGCAGTTCAAGTGCTTTTGTTTTGCTTAGCTCCAATTAAGGCTTGCAGAAAAAGTTGTGTTCTTGTTACTTAAATTTTGCATTTCTGTCCCCAAGTACCTTTTAATAACTTCAATGATATCTATAGTTGAAAATACAAAGATTCTCAAGTTTGCCATTTGAGAAATGTAAAATATGTCAGTCATTTTTAATCATACATTTTTATAGCTGCTGAATAGACACATGTTCCTAAAATGAAGCTTACCTAAAATATCTTGATTGAGATTGCCATAAACTGGATCATCTTCTGTGTGATAGCCATCATAGCTACAAGGGGAATGAAGAAATACTTTTAATTCACAGAATGTGCTTTATTTAGAACCCCATTACTATATTTTATTGTTTTATGCACATATGCAGATTGTGTGTGTGTATATCTATATTTAGCAGATTGTTTGTGATCTTATAAACAAGACCAAAAGTATCAGAGAGGGCAGAAATGGCAGTTTAGGTATTCTCAGGAGAGTTTTGTAACCTAGCTCAGAACTGAACTCTCCCTTCCCATAAATTCATTAAGCACAAAGCTAATCTCAAGACTATTAAACTACAGTTTGAGGTAGGGTAAGAAATGTTAAAGAGATCACTGAAAGAAACCCAATTCATGTACTCTGAGAGCACTCTGCAATACAAAATAAAGCACCATATATGTCTTTCAGACCTTAAAAGGTCCCCTCTTGATTCAACAAAAATACTTCTGTCAATACAGAGAAGACCAAAGCCAAGTTCAGCTTTGCATTTTTAATTGTATGTTGTGTTTCATTACCTGGAATGTAACACTTGAAAATGTTCCTAAGTGGGTTTGTAAAATGGGAATTGTTAGTAGGAAGCACTGTGTAACCTTTCTACTGCACCCTGTATTGAGTCTCATCAAGGGGGTGAAGCTGTGCTCCAACACCACATTCAGTGGTATTTCTCATCTGAACAGGCAGTAATAGGCAAATAGAGACTTCCCAATTTCAAGAAAATTTGTAATTAAGAATTGGTTTTGGGTAACAGGTGCAGGCTTTTGTATTTTTGTTTCAAGGGTTTTTAAATTTGGGTTGAGATGAGATCTATCCATCTCTGTTTTCTAAAGTTTGGGCTTGGTTTGGGTTATTTTTCCTCTGTGGCATAAGAGAGAGAGACTTGAAACAGATTTGTGTAATGGATCATGGGATATCCTACAGCTATAAGCAGGCTCCTTTATTGCTTTTGGATGCTATGTGTAAAAGATGGTTTTGAAATGTAAATACATGTAAATTATAGCTCCACAAGTATTAACTATCAGACTATAATTTGTCACTGTTTTGTGAGAGCTGAGAGTTCTTTTGAATTATTATGGAATTATTTACTTTCAGTGATAGGTAATGGTGGTTTAACTCAATACCTTGCACTTTCAGATAAAATTATAGTACTAACATGCAATTATTTCATTGTTGATAAAATGACTGGAGGATGTATCTCACATGTGAATATTTTTTCCCTAAGTTTTTTTTAAAAACTTTTTTTCCACTACCAACATTTCCAGGCAGACCTCATGAGATATTGAATTTTCCTCTATGCCATCCCTCCAAAGCCATCTGTCATTATTTATTGCATATTTTACCCTCTCCAGAAAGAAACTTTTTAATACAACTTACCTTGGATTGCTCTCTTCATAGTCTTTATGCATTTTAGCTGGAAAATTTGTTTTAAAAAAAAAGTTAAGAGAAAATGAAACATGTTATTTTAGAACACTTCAGATAACTGTCTCAACTGGCATGGTTTTGGTTTTGTTTTAGAGAATACAGTTGAAAGCTCTGGCTCTCAGGACTTTCAGTTGTCCCGCTACTTTTCTCAAATATTTTTGTCAAATACAAGAAAAGTTTATGTCCCTGTGCTGTGTCTGCAAAGTCTACACTAGTTTACAGTACCCAAAAAACATATTGTAACACATGTGATTCATTCTTGATTTCATCCACATTTTGTTTCTCCCTCATTTTTTTCTCTCAGGTTTTCTCTGGGGAGGTGAATCATGTTAATATTCCAAAGTGACGGGTTTATTTATTTCATTTTATTTTATTTATTTAGTTCTGCTGGTATGTCTGAAAAAGAGATCCTGTGATCCACACAGATGAAGAGACTGAAGCAGAGAGGCAATGGCTACAAAGAGATTTCATGCTAGAGCTTGATGAATAATTCAGGAATGCCTGACTTTCTAAACTCCGCTCCCAGACTCCAGAATTTACCACAGTAAGCTCCAATTTGATGAGTAATGCAGTAATTGAGCTAAACCTTGGTCAGTTTAGTTGTGTAAATGACTGTGATTCTTCCTCATAGAGACATCTGCCTTGTAGCCCTAAAACACAAACCAAATATCTCAACTGACACCCATCCCAAGAGACTCACTGTGAATATCTGACTTTATGTAGATTATATACACAAGTGTATTCAGCTTTGTTGAAGTCACCAGTGTTTGCCTGCCCACCCCTACATGTACAGCCCAGGGGCAGTTTTCCCTCTGTAAAAGGAATGGTGAGGATTGTACAACTTCCTAACCATGGAATTGGTTGTGCTGGCACAATCTGTCAAAAAGTAAAAGTAGCTGGCTCGCTGTTTTTATGTAATCATACCTGATTCTCCTAAAACTCCTCTCTAGTAGAATCGTTCTTGCCAAAATAAAACTTTAGGATTCAGAAGAATCAATTTGTTGACTTGACAGCTCTGAGCAGGGATGGTTTTAAACATTGAAATTTGATTCCTTACCAAGAGACATTACTTACCTTGCTTCTTTTTGATATAGTGTACAATATTCAGTGTCAGTGAAACAAGCAGAGCCAAACTCAGGAAGGCCAAAGCTCCCCAGATAGAAAAATGGCAGTCCATTCCTGTAACTGAAAGAAAACTTACTCTTTGTGTTGTCTAACAATTTTACTGTATTCTTCATGCTTGGCTGGTTTTTGCTTTCTGTAATTGAGGCTGCTATTTTGTTGTTTACTCCCTGACAGCTATTGCTATACAAGCTAAATAATTAATATCAAAACCAGATGCTAAATATTAAGAAAACAGCTTCAATAAACTGTTAGCAGAAATAGTGTTTCATAGGAATTCAGCCAAAGATTAAGCTATTGGTTTGCCTGTAAGATGCAGTAAAAATCAGAAATTAATAAAGAAAAATGTAATTTTACTGGATAGCTTTGAAATTATTTTTTGCAGTTGTCTTTAAGTTAGTATTTGCAGTAAATTAAGGAAGTTTTTAGCTAAATTCTAGAGTTCATGAAAGTAGTTCTGAATTTAGTCAAAACAAATTTGCTGGATGTGTCTCTGAATAATAGCTAAGACAGTAGTGTTTTAACAATCCCTGCAAGAAAGGTCAAAATTTAGTTATGTTTTCTTGCATTGTTTTCCAGCTATTAAAACCAGTTACTTGTTCTAAATGTCTTGCCTGAGAAACCAGAGAAAGTGATGGTAAAGGATAAGCATCAGCTGGGAACCAGTGAAGCCCCAAGTATTCCTGCAAGGAAAAGTTCAAACAGCTCCTGGAAAATCACTTGGTAAAAGGTGAGTTCACTTATTTGAACAAAGTCTTCTTTTGCTCTAATCTTGCCACTCCTTTCAATAAGAAAGATAGGAAATCTGCACAAAATCTATTTTTGTCATTTAATTAATGCTTTAATTAACCTGGCTCATACAAATCTTCCATCACAAACCATGCTGAAGAAAATAGCCTATTTGTGGAGAAACACTGAGCCAAATAAATGACTGAAAGGAGCTTGCAGCTTTATTCTTAACTTTCCCAAGAGGCTTATTTCATGTTCTCTGAGATTTGAAGTGTTTGAAATAAAACCTGGTGCCCAAAACTAATGAGCTCTAATAGTACATAAAAAGAAACGTGCAGCTGGAGCAGAGCAGTCAAGGGGCTGGATTGGATGATACTGACCCTTAGTGCATTCTGTTGTTTTTGGACATACCTGGATTCCCTCAGGAAGCTCACATTTTGTTTGTTTCCTAAGGAAAGCTGAGTTAAAGGAATACAGGAATGCACTTTTCCATGTTGCTGGCCAGGGGAGGGTGGCAATGCATTTGCTCCTGCTGAGAAGACAGAGCTTTAAAGGTTCCTTGACTGCCTGGGCTCCAGCTCAAAACCTTCTTACAGGTTTTGCCCTTCTTTGTGCTGGTGTTGTCAAAACTCTTTTTGTTTTGTTGCACTCCAACCCCCAGGTGTTCTTATAATGACCAAACAAGATAAGATAAGCCCTGGTAGTAAAAAATCACAAATCACCTGGGCTTCCAGGATGTAGGTTTCTTTCCTGAACAGAACTCTCTTTTAAAAGGAACAAAGCAAATCAACTAAGCTGTAATTTTCTGATGGACTTCTAACTTCTTTTTGCACATGGTACTTTCAGTGACCATTTATTCTTAGTTTTAAACTAAACATGCTGTTTCCCTTCCTTTCTACCACTTGAGTTCTCCCAAAGGTGTTTGAGAGTTCTTTATCACTGCAATTCTCCTTTTCATGTTAAAAGGCACTTTTATGCGATGAGATACAGACATTTATGAGAGACAACACCCCCATAGAGCAACTATACAGCATTCCAATTTTTCAGGGAAGGAATTAAAAGAATAGGAGATCTACACTGAGGAGATATTTTCAGGGTGCATCAAGAATCACCAGTCTTTGGAACCTGGTTACTGTGCAATTAGTCACTCAGTATTGCATCCCATGCAACCTGTCCAAAACTATAAGTCTGTCCAGGACAAGAAATTTCAAGTTTCACTGTTTAGCCTAAATAATCAGAATCCTCTCATTCTTTTCCCATCTTTTTATCTTTTCTAATGTGATTCACTTCCATTCTTCTCATGTTCATTTCATATTTCTTTTCCTCCAAACACTTTTCCCAGGGAGCAAAAGCAGTATTGTGGCCCACAAGAAGGGAAGCACATATAACTGTGATAGAATCACAGAATCAGCCACGTTGGACACAACTCTGAGATTCATCAGAATAAAAGGAGTGGGCAGGTACCTAAAGTACAGTTGCAATCTAACATTGTTCCTGTTTCTCCATATAGGATGTTGTCATTTATCGCTCTGATTCAGGAATCCAATTTTTGCCTGGTGTTTCCAGAGTAGAAGGAAAACTCTTAGTTTCAATTGGACTATTTTCAGCCCTTAACTGGCCCCCTTTTTTTTGACAACTATTATTTTCCTGTTTCAGGTTTTGATTTGAATTGAAATTTTTTTTCTGGAAAATAGTAAAAGTTTGATAAAATTATTTTCTTTTTAGTTTTCAAGTCTAAATTCTGTGATATTTGAGCCATCCTACTTCTCAAGAACTTTAAAAACACTCTAGAAGAAAAAAAATATATGAAACTTGGATTTCTCCTAAAACATACCAATGTTTTAAATCTCGCAATCTATAGTTCTTAAGCACGATTTAGGAAATTTCATGGGTGTGGGTAGATTAAGAAATAACATTTAAATTTCTTCCTGGGTGAACACTACTTTAGTTTATTTTAAAATTTATTTTCCACAACACTGTCTTAAACATCTGCTTGTGTTTCGGTAGAATGTATACAAACATATGTGTGACTTGAGTATATTTTTGTTTGTTTGTTTTTGCAATACTACCTATTTGTTTGTCAGACAACACTGCTTATATGGGAGAAACCACAGCAGTTTTTACTTAGCCCACCTTGCTCAGAGATGTACTGGTGCTGTTCTGAGAGCTCCATGCCATTCTAACGTTAGTTTCAAGCTAATCATATTACCCAGATTTAAAATATGAGAAAATCTGGTTTTATATCCAAACTTTACAGATATGCAACTCCTAGATCTTTCCCATGTCTTCTAATTCTTATAGATGTTTCTGATATGCTGCTTCCATTGATAACTGAATTATTTCAATTTTAACTACTTTGACAACAGCAGCATTAGCAGGAAAGCTGACTGTGTGAAGAACAATTTGTCTCCACAGATAACTACACTGCTCTCCCTAAATGTACAATAGCAGATGCAACCTCTCACAGTTAACAGGTTGTGCTAAAGACAAAAACAAGATAAGGAGACTGTAGATGGTGAGTGAGAAATAAACAGCAAGTCTATTAGCCTAGTTATAGTCAATTTTAAAATGGTGTCTTTTATTCTGTTCTCTAATTTTAATTCTCATTCAAGTCATCTATCCTCAAATTGAGCAAATCTATATTAATCTTTTCTTACATAACATATAGTTTGTCCAAAGAGCCCATGACACTGTATTCAGGGACATTCTCATTCAAGCCATCAAACTGAACACTTAAAAAAAATTGTTGTATCTTTTGAAAAAAAGTCATATGGAATAATTAGGCTGCTTGGGAACAGGACACTATGATTCTAAAACTATAAGCTCAAATTCCATCAGGGTTTTCTGTGATAGTCTATCTGTGGTAGGAAAACTTAAGGCTGGTAGTAGTTGCAAGAAATAATATTGATGTCTTCTTAAAGTAATGTGCTCCTCTGTGAAAGGAAAAAGGTCACTACATACCCAAGGTTTCATGAGAGGGACAACCATTCTTGTTATATTGTTAGAAGACTTCGGGATGCATGAGGGGAGAAAAATTGTATTTAAGAATTATAAAGATGACAGTGTTTTGATTAACTAATATCAGACTCTCTCTTGTATTAATGACACATTCTTATGCTGCTGTTCTTCCATTTATCTTTGAAAACTAGGTTAAACTCGGAGTAGCATCCAGGTAGAACATCTATCTTAGGTAAGTTGCTTCATTTGGATAATGTTTTCACTTTTCTGACTTCAGGGATGGGTTACTCACTGCCTCTTAGTATATTTTTCAGTGTTATAAACTGAATGGACAAAATTCACACCACAAACTACAGACAAACAAAGGACTTCTAAATATATAGTTAATTGTGCTTTTTCTCTTTAAAAGTCTGCTGACAACTTTCTCCACCAATAGAAACATGGGAATAAAGAGAGTTTTGGTACTTTGTTGTTAGGTTTTCTCTTGACAAAAGCCTGCTATTCATTTTATTGCAACTCAAAGGAGTGGTCATAATTCTGTACTTACCTGTGGGGAGTGGAGCCAGATTTAACAATTAGTGTTGGATATTTGTCCTTTCAACAACATAAGAATAGGTAGCAGAAGTGTTGTTTTGTTCCTCCTTGTTCTAATGTGTTTTTAGGGAATCCCTCACAAGGGATAACAGGGAGATAGCAACTTCTATCAGGTTTTTGTACTGAAAAGGAACATGAGGTAGGGAACATAGGTACTATCTAGCTGGACATGCCATCTGTGGTGTCAATTTATTATCCACAGAGGCAGATTAATTGCTACCAGACTTATGGTGATGATCTGGAGCACAAAATGGTTTCTTTCCTTTATTTCCTCTTGTTTTCATCTACAAATTTGTTAAAGATTACATAAAACTGTCTTTCCTTCCCCCTCTTCCAATTAAACATCAATATAAATAATATTTTGTACTAATGGCCCTTAGAAAAAGAAGCCCATTAAGAGACTGATGAATGTTAAATTAGCATTAAAAATGCTTCCACCTGTGTGAGCTTTTAATACAGGATTAATTCTCTGAAAAAGATTCCTTAAACTGCAATTAATTAGTGCACAGCTAATTGCTTTGTAAGAGATCATACTTCAGAAGGGAAACAGCACATTGTTAAATAAGCAGGCCCATGGCACAGTATTTTCAGCATAAAGTTAATGCCTTAATTAATGAAGGTATAGCACCCTGAGCCACCTTCTTGGGAGACTGCTGATCTGCCATGGCGTGGTACTGCTCCTATGCTTAAAAGTTTAAAAGATAAGGCTTACCTGGTTCTGTTGTTTCTAGGATTACTCCCCTCCCCTTTATCCAACAGGAAATCAAGTTATGTTGGCAGAAGTTGGATATTCTTGTCTCGAACCTGGCAGCATGAACTTGTCTTTAGAGTTGCTGTCGATCTCAAATCCCTCCAGTCTTTTTTTTTTCACCTCCTTTCTTACAAACAGGAAATGTGGTTCAGCTTTGACAAGCAAACGCACATTCTCCTTCAGTGTTTGCCTCCAAGAGAGAATTAAAGTATTTATGTGGACCCTCGTATTTATTACCCACCTGTTTTCCTCAGAAGAACATGTATAGGACTATTAATTTATGTGATACAAACTTACTTTTGCAATATTCATATTTACACTCTAAGACTTCTTGGGTTTGACGTTATGTTAATTCAACAGAAGTATTTAGATACTTCTTAAACTAAATTACAGGACTATTTTATCTAGGAGTGCTATGTGACTTTTCCTCTTTTGAAGCTTTTAAACCAAGGCAGAAAATCATTGCGCAGAGCCTACAGTTTAGCAACAACAGGATTCAGAGGCAGGATGAAGAAATTATAACACTGCCAGCTCCTGAAAGTCAGGTTAGAATAACATAATGTCATCACTTCATTCTTCAGAGTCTATGAATCCAGGGCCACAGTCCAGTACAGTTGTGGAAAGAAAGGATAAACCAGTGTGTGGCTTACTGTGTGCATTTGTCTTTAGAATTTAATAAAACATGTCTGTGTTCAGGTAGAGAAGTCATTTTATTCTCAGAGTAGCTTCTTTCCAGAGGAAGCTTGCACGCTGAGCACTCTCAAAGAAACCTTCTGTTAACTTCTGATGTGTTAGGTATAGTTTAGTTTTTGGGGTTTTTCTTCAGAGCAAACGGTTTTATTTCCTACAAAGTATGAGGTAAAAGTAGGAGGAGCGTCTTATTAAAAGAATGTGACTCACATGACTATGTTTGTCTTTTTGGAATACGTAAACTGAAATAACCCTCAGTATAGCCTAAGGAGCAATGTAAAACTCTGCTCTTCCTCTAATGTGAGAAAATGTCCTCTGAAATCTGTGTTTACTCGGGATGCTATTACTTTTGATTATTATTTTTGTATTAACTGCCTTGGATCAATGCTTAAGAAATAATTTACTGGATTAGCATCTTATTTGAACATGAAGGAACAGATTAGTTTTGATTAATATAATAAATCCCATTCAAGTCCAAGGGTGATATAAACTCAACTATTCAGAGCTTTATCATAATGAAGTAACTAGAGCAGGAGGAATTAATCTGAAAATACTCAAAATGTTGGGAATACTTATGGAAGGATGCTGAACTGAGAGAGGAACTGGAGAAGAGATGTGCATTGTGAAAATGAAGACAGTTTCTCAGCTAGGAGCATGTGGAGTAAATCTGAAATCTGCAGAGGATTCAGAATAAAATGCTTATCAGCATGAACAAGAAGCTTACAAGAAATAAACTCCTTTGGAGGTAATTAGGAGCATAATGGAAAGGTGAACACTGAGAATGCAGCAGGGGATTTCTGTGTTTGTAGTCCTGCTGGTGTGTTAATAAATCTGCTCTCCAAGAGCAAATCATTGCTGTACTGTATCAGCTTTGAATGGCTGCAAAAGCAAAGTCTATTGGAATAAATGTGAACTTGGTGTGCTATTTTGGGCAACCTGCAAGAGACAGAAGGCTCTGTTAGATAGCAAGGAAATATTCACTGCAGCCAGTAAAATCCATTGGGAATATGATGGTTCTTTTTTTTCCTTTCCTTTGTATCAGTGCTACATTAAAAAAACTTAAGAGAGCCAGTAGTCTGCTTAAAGTGGTGTTACTCAGAACAACAGAGACAAGGACAAACCATTACTATATTTAGAAAGAGAGGACATAAGGCAATGCCACTTCATCCCCATCTATTGCATACAAAGGCATTTCTTCCTCTGTTTTAAGTCCCCAAGCTGTAAATTCCTGGATGCATATTCTGGGAACATGTCTCTGCCTGCTTAATTACTTCTGTGATCTTTGGTAAATATGGTGCTGGCATCTTGAGAAAAGAGTCTGTCTCAAGTGGACATCTGCCTTGGCTGGGAATAGCTCTTGCTACTGAAATTCTTAAAGAAGGTAAAAGGAGCACGATTAAATATCAATGTGCACAGATGAGTGCTGAAATGGAGTCAAACAAACAGCACATAAGTACATTTTGTAATGCACGCAGGTTGCCAGCAAGTTGTGCTTTTCTAAGACTGAAGAATGCATGTTTATTCTTACTTCCTGAAAGTGAAATAAGTTGCATAACCATGACAGCACCATCAGGCCTCAAATGCCTACTTGATCTATTACTACTCAAATTACAACCTTTCTTTGAAAAATGATATCATTTTCTATGCTAAGTGTTGTAGTGGAAATCCCCTTGTGAAGAATGTAAGAGACACTCTTTGTAGTAGCAGTCTTGAAAAGAATAGGTATTCCTGCGAGATGTAAACTATATTTCTGTTTGAAATGGAAATCTATTTTTAATAATGACATTTCAGAATTTTCTGGGCAAAGTAACTACAGCAGAATTTTTTTAAATTGGGTTTATGCTGAAGTGGAATCTGCTCTGGTCCTAGTCTCACAAACATATTGGAGAAATAGAGCTGTTGTTTTAAGCTGAGCATGTGAATCTTTACATCGATGTCAGGTGCAGATCTGGCGCTCCTTGTGCTGTGAACACAAATGAGCAGCAGGGCTGCAGGAGAGAGGTTGGTTTAAAATAGCTGCCAGAAACAGTGAGGCCTTTCAAGTGTGCTTCAAATGCTTCAGAGAGTTCTTCTATCTCTCACAGTGAATTTTGCACTTAATGATAAAATTTTAAAAACTAACCAGGCTCCTTTGTGCATTGTAGACAAGCCTGTCTTTAATCACCACGTTACTTAAAACCAGTGTTAAGCAGAATGCTGTCTCATTAACTGACCCTGAAATTGTGGCTCCTATTAAAAGCAATATCATGGGTTTCCTGTGGGGAAACCACTGGGTGGTTTTATTCTGAATGCAACAAAACCTTATTATCAAGGACTATAAAGAGAAAATTTCTTATCTTGATAACTCTGCACGGAAAAATTTCTATTGTAATCTAACACTGCATACTTGTGCAGCTTTGGGTGGAGTTTTCTGTGCTGCACATTTTGAGATAGCAGAGCAATCCCTGTGTACTCAGCAGAGAGAAAACAGAACAGATGCCACTTTATTCAAAGCCTGCAGAGATAAAGTGTGGCTTTTCCATTGACTTCACTAGATTTTATTTTCTGTTCAGATAGACACTGTATCCTGAGAGAGGTGTAATCTCTAGTGATTTTTCTTTCAATAGCCACAAGAAGAATGAATTTCCTATTAAAGTGCTATCATCCATTCAGCTGCTTTTTTAGTTCCCTCTTGACACACTTATACAAGAGTGTGGGCAAATACTTTCCCCTGGGCAGCCCAAGGCCTGGCCCTGCAACTATTTCTCATGTGAGACACCCTCGTGAAGCCAGCAGGCTCCCCTCTGTGCTTGGTAGCAAGCTTACAACTCTGTCAACTTTGACCTAAGTGCAGGAAGAATTTGTGAGCAAAATAGCAAACTCTAAAATATTGAGCTTGTTCTCTTCAAAGTTCCCTGGGACTACCACAAGCATGTCCATGTGGCTCTGTTGGACCCAGTGTAGAAAACTCAAACTGAAGCCTCGTGGAGAATCCCCCTGAACAGTCTAAGTCCCTTGCTGTGGCCTGAGCTGATAAACTGTTCCTCATGTGTCCTCTTTGCTGAGGTGATGAAGCTGACTCCTGCTCTGCAGTGTGTCCTCCACCAGCTTAGCCTTCAGAGTGGACTTCTCATCACGGCTAAGAGAATGTCAGACCCTTGTCCTCTGTGTTCCAATGGGTTAAACTTGTTCTGCCCTAAGTGAAGTGTTCCCAGCCACAATTCTGAATGAAAATTATTGTAAATGCAGGCTAACCCAATGGGAAGAAGTGACGATGTCTGACTCAACTCAGAAGGCTGAATGATTTCTTTATTATAACTATGCTAAAATATATTAATATACTATATAAAAGGAGAATACTAAAACTGCATACTACTTTCTCCAGCTAACACAACTGGTGACCCTTTCTGAGAGTCCAGCCCCAGGTGGGTTGGATTGGCCATCAGCTCAAACAATCCTCACCAGAATCCAATCAAGCACTCACTCCAGGTAAACAATTCTCCAAACACATTCCACATGGGAAAAACAAGGAGCAGAAATAGAAATTGTTTTCTCTTTCATTTCTCTCTGTGCAGCTCTATGAAAAATCCTGAGAGGGAGAGAAATGTGCTTGCCACAGAAAATAGCCTTTACTTTGGGCAAAACAATGCCTGTGCTCTAGTGAGTGACTGGTATTCAGGTAATGAATTCCTGTAACTCAGGATGCCGTCTCTGCATTTGAACACCGTCTCTTCCAGCACTATTTGGAGCCTGTAATATCACAGCATGGTTCATGTTGGCCTGTCTTTCTGGGCACAAGAAAAACTCTGAGCTCTTTAAAATCTGATGGAGACCTAGTCTAGGCTGTCTTGTTGAGGGCTCTTGTTAGAATTCAGACTGGTGTACATGTGAATGCCCCCACCTCAGTTTGCTGTGACATTGCAGGTGAAAGTATTTGAACTGCATTTCTCTGAAATCTCCTCTGAAGTCCTTCCTGAATTTTATCCAGAGGGACACTATTTCCCTCGTGACACAATTGCCAGGGGCAGTAGGAGAACCACTGAAGTGGAAGTAAAGTGTGGGTCATGCACATATCTGACAAGTCAGAAACAGTGCCAAGGAAATGAAAAAATGTATGAGCCTACCTCATCTGTGATTGCAAATATTTACCAGTAAGCCAAGGTATCTCTGTAGCACAGCTTAATAACTACTTAGATCTAATCAAAGTGTGTGTAAGTTAAGAGAAAGATTTGGAATAAAAACTGTGAAGCTAAGCTAAGCCTTAAAAAGTGGTCAGTGATGCATTGGAGTAATGAATTTGAAGTGAATCACCTAACTACTGAACCTTGCAGCTTAACAGCGTTGTGGTTGCATCTCTATTTAAAGAACTTTCTGGTAAGCAGATCAAAGTGCTCATCTTGCCACATTCACGGCTGTTAAGACATTGTTTTCTTACTACTTCCTGCTGAGCAG